AAATAAAAATGAACATATATTTGAAGTAACAATACAAGATAATAAATAGTTGTTGGGTATATAAATTTTTGTTATAAGTAGTATTGATTTAAAATACAGATTCATAACAATAGTAACAATCATTCATTTCTTTGAGAATATTCGATGAAACTGAAACGATAAAAAAAGATTAACATGACCTTTGTACAAGAATGGCATACACTAAGAATGACACAACAAATTAAGAAATGATACAATAATAACAACCATTCCGTCAGTTAGTGATGATAATAGGGCGGGGCGGATGAGGGCAAAATATCTTAAAGCAATGCGGATGAGGCGAATTTAAGGTTGTACAGAGCAGATAAAAGTAAAATTTTAAATTTATGCAGGACAGGATAATCGTTGTCTTGCTAGTATATGTAATTTTATGTTGGTTGATCTTAGTTTTAACTGTTTACATGGTAGAAGAGTAATAGAACATTATTTATAAAGATAATACCTTTAAAACCTACTAAAATTAAAAAAAATATTCTATGAAGATGGGCGGAGCGAATTAAGACTTTCACAAATTAAGTTCAACCATCCTGCCTCCTCCCATTGCCATCCTTACCGTCATTAGGAATTTGTGTTGGTAAATTTTTCGGTTTGACCATAAATTTCCCATAATATTTTGGAAAAAAATTGACAAAATGTGTTTGTCCAAAAAATTTGTCATTATTTGATAAATATTTTTGGTAAATATTCCAAATACTAATTTTTTGTAGTATTTGGATCAAATCTCATTATTTGGGCATTATTTAAAATTGAAATTTTACCACAAATTTTTAACTTTTTCAAAGACACCCTCTGTAGTAGTTGTTTGCGTTATATTACATAATTTTTTTACGTGAACATCAAAATAATTATGAAATGTTCAGTGAACATGAAATCTGATCAGGGTGACAAAGTCATGTGTTTTCTCTACCTCACGATGTATGAATTTATGTTTGTTGTACTCACTCCAAACTATCACATCGTCCTAGTGTCATGGATAGCTGAATATTATTTGTGGTTGTTGCAACGAATATCCAATTGACTTCTAGCACAAGTTTATGATTAATTTTGATAGCTTTTAAAATTTTGAGTACAAATTATATTTTTCTATAAAATAAATTAAAATATATTTTTCAAATACTATGACCAAACACATAATGAAATTTCACCAAATAACGCGTATAACCAAACGCTAACTCAAAATGTGAGACTTGTACTTACTAATAATTGCCCACTTATATATATCCAGAAGCGACTAATGGCGTGTTGAATTCAACTTTTGTGATTTTTATTGCATAATAGTAATTGAATTGTTTCTATTGAAAAAGCACTTTTGTTATTAATTTTTATATTTCCAAACGCAGTTTTGACAGTCTAAATTAATCAATAACTTACTTAATTTACGTAATTACTACTCTCTCGAAATTTTTTTATTACGTGCCTCATATATACCCGATGCGGTTAAGTTTTTTCCTGTCGGTGGACTAATCAAGCAGTAAAATCTTCAACACTAATCTATTTTTGGGTTCAGTTTCACATTATTAAACAGGAATATGAAAAACGATTAACATGTACAAGAATACAAAGCCAATTTGCTAATTCTATAAACTCAATGAACACCATGAAATAAATACTGCTAATTTCTCTTAAACATTCTTGCATATTTTTTAGGAACAAAACATTAATGGAAATAAAGGACTAATCTACTTGAATCTCAGAACAAAAATTGAAAAATTTACACTTAAACTTGGATCTAAAATCACACCATAGCAAAAAAAAAAAAATTGAAAACAGATATCGAGATCTAAGTCTGCTAATTGGAGAATTAGATATCAGAGAAGCAGTTATACCTAGCTGTAGTTTCTCCGGTACAACTTCCGACGACTTTAGAAACTCTTCTATCACGTCCGATGACTATTTGATTAATCGTCGCAGCTGTACAAAGACACTCTTTCAGATCGTAGTGTCGGTCGGATTCCGATGAAGAGATCACAGATTTGACAAGCTCACAGCATAGATCTTCGGATTCTACTGGAGATTCTTCCATCGGAAAACAAGCAGAAGCAAGGTGCATGAGCTCCGACGGTAAACAGTTCAAAACTTTTTTCGCCGGAGTTTTAGCAGATGCAGCGGTGGTAGCTTGTAGAGTGAAGAAAATAAGGGTAAATGAAAGTAAAATAGGTAGAAAATTTGGGGATTTTTGGGAAGCCATATTTGTTGAAAGAGTGTAGACTCAGTAGAGAAAATGAGGAAGAAGAGATGTGGGAGAAAAAGGTAGAGGGTAGGGGTGCAAAGAAAAAAGTTAATTTTCAGTTTCAGTCCTTCATTTATAACTGTATTCCTACTTTAGTCTACTTAATTTAATACAATGTACATTTGACCTTTTAATTTATATGTAAAAAAACGTCAAATTTCTAGCTGTATAATTATTATTCTTTCGCTGTTCGAAATTTATATTAGAGGTCCAATTAAAATTTAAATTATACATTGTACGATTCTTAATGAGAATACATCAATAATTTTTACATTTATTGGTAACTCTATTTAGATATTCGAATTATGAAGATATTTTAATATATAATAAAATTTCTATGTTGGATACTTTCCATTCAAATACATATAAATTTTTTTTGTACATATTCACAACATCTTAGATAGATATATCAATAGGAAGTATGTTACAGTAATTTTAGTTATATGCATTAATCTTAATAATTCTAATTTAGTAAGTAATAACGTGAGTGTTCGAAAATACAATAACTTTTATAAATTTTGAGCCAAAAAATAGCTAATAAAGATATTACCATACTTGATCTAACAAACTGAGCAAAGTTGAAAGTCTAAAGATAATTTAGTGATAACTTTTAAAAATTATAGAAATATTTTAAAATTTTACATTAGTAGCTTCATGAAAATGTGTCACAAAACTTTCTCTAGTATCTTCTAACTATTTTTTCTAATTAATATTTCTTCGATGCGTATAAATAAGACTGGACAAGTTGTCCCCTAATTAATACTTTAACGTGCTGTCATGTTTACATGGTCGAACTTTCTCGACAACTTCCACGTTCTTATGCTAAAGTTTTGTATTATTTAATTGATTACTGGAATGGCTTAGTTTACACTTGTTAACCTTAGCTAATTCCTAGTTAAGAGAATTATTTTATATCCGGAAACAAAATCAAAAAGAAAAATAAATAAATAAATAACAGAAATTTCACTTTCAAATTCTCTTATTATTCCCTATTAATTTTTTCTAATTTTTAAAATCTCTCATTTTCACACATTAGATTAATGTACTAGCGCATCAAATTAATATATTTTGATTAGTGTATCATGTGTAAAATATAATGTATCTTACTGAATGATTAATATCTCTCACACATCAGAGTAATATATCAGCGCTTATATTATTGTATCAGTTTGAGGGATTTCTGTAATTATAAACTTATAAGGAACAAATAACAATTTTGTCTTAACATTATGTGATTATTGTCCTTTTTAAGAGAAATCTGATTATATTTTGTCATATGATAACGAAGTTAAAATTTTATTAAGGATATTCAAGAATAATAGTGTGTGATTGTGAAAATAAAATAAAAGTATTGTGTTATTTGGGATTAGGATACTTATTATTACTACACCAAAGTATATAGTTATAGATAAACCCCTGCGGCATAGATGAGGTTGTTGCTTTCTCGATCAGAGTGCTAGATTAGAGTAATAAATTGAAAAAATATTCTTTTATAAAATGTTATTTCAAATAAAATTTTACTAGAATCTAAATTAATTAAACTAAAATTAAAAAAATTAAACAATTTTGTTAGTATTTTGACAGGTATCATCACTCCATTCTCTCCCTCTCTCTTTTGAGATGCACCGATTAATACTCCGTTGATTGGATTTGGAGACTATATAGAACTCCCTCCTGTCTCAAAATGGATAAATTCCTTTTTTTTTAGTCAATTTTTTAAAAAATAAGCATTTTTTAATAATAATTTAATTTTAATTTACGTAGCATATTTAAAATTATAAAATTTAATTTTTTATATATTTCACTTAATTATAATTTAAAATTTCAATATTCAAAAATTTATTTACTTTTTTATATTTTATATCAAATTAAACTAGATTATTTTTTAATACCGAAAAAACGAAGAGAGTAATAAATTATCACAAGATTGATTAACATAATTGAGAAAGTTGAAACAGAGAAAGTATATGTAAGACAATAGCCAATTAAATGAGCACACCTACTTTTTCGAAAGTACTGTTGTGTTACTTTAATTTTCCTCTATTCACCTACTACATGGCCCAAAAAAAAAGGATTAAATTAGAAGAAAGAGTAATGAGGGGGACGGATGTATTCACAGAAGAGATAGGGCATTGGGAGACATACGGAAGGAGTGTATTCGAAAGCGAAGGGATAAGACATTTTGATGCATAAGAGAGGGATGTATTTGAGAGTGATGGATATTCGAGAGGGGATAGAGAAGTATTAATGAGAGAGAACAAGAGGATGTTGCTCAGATAGTAAACACACTTCACTTACAGCCCTGAAGATTTTGAGTTCAAGTTCTTGTTGCTAAAGAAGCAAAAAATTATAAAGGAATGAGAAAAAACAAAACAAAAATTAATTATCCTTTGACCTAATTACTGTCCAGCTCAATAACAAGAACGCAATAGATATGCATATTAGTAAAAAATATCAAAACATTTTTGTTAGTATTAATTAATTATCATTGGAATATCGCCGGTCGCTACTAAAGATTATTTTTTGGTGTAGTGTTCATTGAATGTAATAATTGACAGAAAACTATACCTCAAGAAGTTTGAAGTCAATAAATTAAAAGTAGCCCCTGCCTAGTGCCTGGATGTTTAATGATTCTTCCTCCTTCAAAGGGTTTAAACTAGTTAGCACATAGAAAGTATATTTGCGATGTCTAAATACGTATGGAGGAGATTGAAGGAGACTTTATACATAATACATTTCACACAAGATCATAGATAAATCAGTATATAGACAATATAGTGATGTTTTTTTTTTTGACAAATTACAGCTTTTCCTTGTTTTGCCATTTGTTGACAATAAATACCTATGAAACAATATTTTACACTAACAACACAAATAAACGTGCAAAAGGACATAATTCAAGTAACATAATTATATGAGTACTAAGTCTAAAAGCAAAAGATATTATTGAAAATTTCAAAGAGGTATATTAATTTTTTTTTAACTAAAAAGACGAAAACGCTTCTTATGTAGCAATTTTTTTCTGGCGGTGTTACTTTGTTAGAATCAAAATCGCTGGTAGGTTTTGTCCAAAATGTTTTTCCCCTTTTCTGTGAATATCGCTGTCCGAGCAACATTTTTCGCGAAAAAGCTCTTAAAAAATTAAATGGCTGCTATGGCAGCGTTAATTCTATCAGAAAGTATTTTAAAAAAAAAAGAAATCGCTCCATATACAGCGATTTCAGTAGAAAAAATTTCCCACATGAGTTATTTAATATTTTTTCATTGTATACTTTTTAATTGTTAGCAGGGATTTAAAAATTGAAAAACAATTCTAACAGAAATCGCTGTCTTGATAGCGATTATTTTTAAAACTAAAATCGCTATCTTTGGAGCGATTTTCAATTATTATTTTATGGACAAAATCGCAGATAGGTTTTGATCGTAAACGAAGTAACAGAAGAAAATCGCTACTTGATGAGTATTTTTACCCTTTTGATTAAGAAAAAAATTGACATACCCTTTTGAAATTTTTGACAATAATTTTTGTCCTTTAGGCATCGGATTCGTACATATATATATACATTTCTCAAGTCAGGCACAACCTTAAGTTGTGCCCTATAAAGATTATTCGTACGTATCCATCAAATCTTTGAAGTAAGGAAGCGAGTTTGTCTCCGACTTAACTAGAGAACACGATATTGAGAATGAGTCCATAGGTCGACAAAAGGCTTCTAATGCAATAAATCAGGATCTGAAGTTCATCCGTCTTTGAAATAAATAAACCTTGTTAATAACTGTTAATTTCTAAGGATTCAACTTTCTCTCCAACAAAATAACATGACAATTTTAACGTATAAAATTAGCTCTAGCATAACATACACACAAAATGTTATCTAGTGATCTAGGGTTATATTTTACTTTAAGGATATCAAATTTTCATTCTATTACTCTCAAAATTGCAAATCAAGATCTTGCTTTAATTTCCTAATACAATGCATTCTGTATAAAATTGAATTTCCAAAAAAAAAAATCAATAATTATTCTAAGTCACGGGATGAATAACAAAATTGTGATGAGTGAGTTAGAGGGTAGGCCCTATCTAAAGAAATTAGTGGTGGAGGAATATTGCCACATTGCAAATATGCATAGGCTTATCTCTAAAAATTACAGAGCTCGTTGGTTCAATGCATAGGCCGTAGGATGTGACCATTACTATTATTATTATTTACAATCTATTTAAGGACGTGAAATCCACTCATATTTCCCATCCGTTCATTTCAATATCTTCATCGATGATTTTAGTTAGATATTCACTTTCTAGAAAATAACGAAGCATTTTATTATTTTAATCTTGATTAAATGTCTTAAAGTCAAAAAGAAAATATAAAATTGTATGGATTAAGTTTTTACTTTTTTTTAATAAAAAAATCTTGTATAGACATCATGCTAATTTTTTGAGTGTCATTTTAGTTTTATCCGATGTCTTTAGACTATTAAGTTTTTACTCGTTAGTTATTAGGCAAAGAAAAAAAAAGTACAATTTAGTTGTCTCCATTCATGTTCCAACATAGATATATATAAACTCAGTTTTATTTTATGTGATAATAGTTTGAGTTGGCCAACGTTTAAAAAGAAAATGAAGATTTTAAAATTTGTGATTCGAAATGAATAATAGAAATTTGTATAATTAATTTTACTAAGGATAATATAAATTTTTTATACTTATATTGTTACGTGTCTTTTTTCTTTAACGAACTAATAAGAAAAGTAGTAACGTAAATTGAGACAGAGAGAGTACCACTTAGGGCATCTCCAACACTACCTTATATTTTACTCTACAAATACTTATTTTTTTGTTTTTTTCACACAATCAATTTCAATCAAATTCTCATTTAATATTTAAAAGAATTTTTAAATATTAAATATTTAATTAATACATTTACATAAAAAATAATATGTCAATTATAAAATAATATTATAATATTAAAAAATAAAATAGAGATTATAAATAATAATTTTTTAAATTTAGAGAATCATTATTCAAACTCTTTCTAATTTCTATTTTACTCTTCTAATATA